TGTCATTAACATAATGCAGATGATCCAGGTGCTCAGCTACTAATGTGGATAAGCGGTCTTTACTTTGGTGACTAAAAATATATCAAGGATAAAACTATAATTGGAATACAGTTTAAAAAACAATAAATGGGAATGTTATTTTACGTATACTACACCTACAGTATTACATTAAATGTGCAGAACTATTAATTCTTTTAAATCTAGTCACATAATTTTATCAGCAAATGATTGTTAATGTAATTCCAAATTTCTTTGATACTGGTAATTATAGCATTAACATAGCTTGTATCACACAAAGAATTTTGAACCCATGACCTCAAGGGTGAAATTCAAAACCACCACCACTTCTACCTCCCAACCTGGGACAATTATCCTACAGGTCACATACTGTAACACAAGGGTAACATAAGTACCAAATAATATAGAGTATAAAAAATGTAAATTAATTATAGCATAGGTGTCGGAGGACTTACTCAACATCATTTCTGATACAGGTGTCCAAGTTCAGCACATGATTACCAATAAACCACACAAGGTTTGAAAAGTAAGGTACAGCTGTCTTGTTACGGATGTATGTCTGCATAGCTTTATCATTCACTGAAAAAAACCCAATTAATTACTTTTAAATATTTCTGTGGCTGCCACATATTGTCCACTGATTGGCATAGATTCAAAAACAGACATCAACATTGTTATAAATTGTTTGATCAAAGCAGCAGGAGAAATGTTTTAAGTTGATTATTACAATCCTAAAGTGATAATGTAGTAGTGTAGGTTATCCCAGCTATTGTCAAACATTCATCATGGAAACACTGTAATGTAAGTAATCACAACGATTCTTTGGATAGAACAGCAGGAAATATTCTTAACAAATTTCTAAATATTAATTCATAAGATTTGTCCAAGTGGCTAGTGAATGTTCGCACAGTAACAGTATTGTACACAGTCAGCCAATGAGAAAGGACAATACAGGGGCGTTGGCTGGTTCACCTTGGGATGTGCGGGGGCATCGGCACCACCCCCCAACCTACGCCCATGCAATACTGCACAGTCAGCCAATGAGAAATGACCATGACCATGTTGCATGAGAGAGGACAATACTATAGTAAGCCAATAGCATACAAATATTGACTGCTGATGAGGGAGGTGAAATTTATTGCCCCAAGTTGATGTGATGACTGTAGCCTACTATCTTCCCGAGGACCAACATTATACTGTATATGGGACCTAGAGATTACACAGTGATAGGGAAAAAAAGTACTACATTTAACGTGATAGTACTTTTTTTCCCCAGGAATTTATGAACTATCATTCAACCTATGTCATAGGAGTGATGGTTGAAGTTATTACCTGCTTTTTAACCAATCAGATGCCTGATCTCTACGGAATATAATAACTATTATTAAATTATTAACAGCTACTTTTATGATGCAATACCTTTGTAAACATTGAGAGTGAGAGTCCTCACTGCAATGCGAACCATGCCCTCTGAATGATTGAAAAATTTGATTGCTTCTGTATACAATGCAAAATCATTTGTATGCTGTCAAAGAAATAAAAAAGGAAATGTTAGAAGAATCATAGCAAAAATACCACAGGTAAAGTCAAGGCTGGAATAAATTTGAGACCGGTGGTCTGAAGCAGGATGAATGTCCCAGAGGCATTTTGGGGGGAAAAAAAACCAAAAAAAAAAACTGTTGGGGCTATATAGTGTACAGATAACATTTGGTGCTGGAGGCATTTTACTGAGATAATTTTCATGGTCGGAAGCACAAACATTACTTTTCCAGGCCTGGGTAGAGTAACTTATACAATCTCATAAATAAACAGTACAACAAAACAATAAAATAACATTTGTATGTACAATTGAGTAATTGGCTAAATAAGAAATAAAACATATGTTAACTCCTGGTGTTTATATATATTCTTCAAAATGATGAATGGCTAAATCACTAACCTCGTTGTAGAAGAAATGGATTGTATGGGAGTTCAACTTCAAGGACAGAGTCTTGAGAAATGATATGTAATAAGCAAGAATCTAGAAAAAAAAAAGAACACTTTATTACTAAACGCCAGTAAAACAAAGTTAAAATCAAACCAGATGAAACTATTCAAATATTTATGAAAGTTAAAATAATGCCATTTAATCAATTCCATTATTGGTGCTTTGATAGGATTTAAAATTTATAATTGAAAATAGGATGGAGAAAAGACAAGTAAATAAAAAGGAAGATAGCAAAAAAAATGAATATAAGAGTGGAAGAGAGAAGGAAAGTAAGATAGATGAGACACACATGGTGATTCAGTGGAAATGTTTGCTATGAAGAATAAAGGTGGATTATAATAAATGAGCAACAGACAGAAAGCAGCATCAAACAGAGGAGAATTAGACAAGTGAAAGGTGGAAAAGTGAAAGAAAATGAAAAGAAGTGACAATGTTCAAAATTAGCAGAGGAAGAGTGTAAGAGATGAAGGAAGAAAAACTCCAAGGAGATGAGGTCTGAAAAGTTTAATATAATTACATTTTACTACAATTACCCTAAAAATTAAAACAATAAAGCTATATTTTATCTTATATGTATTTTTTTTAATACATAACTATATCAAAAAAGAACTAACCTCTTCATCAGAGAAATCAAATTTGTGGACAATGATGGAGTTGACATGGTTGTTGGAAAGAAGGTAATCTAAAAGAAAGTTATAACAAAGTTTAGAAATGGGTAATAATATAAATATGGTGTACATTGTAATGAACAATGGAAAGTAACTAAAACCCTTTTGCTATATAAAGCTGTGATTAGTAGTTAAGTGCTAATCCTACAATTTAAAGATCCTTTATTCAAATCATGTAAATGCCAGAATTTTATTTTCTCATCCAAATGAGTCTGGAAATCTTCACATCATTTATTTAAATCATGTAATCATAGCAACAACAGAAACAACATAAAAAATATAGAACAAAAAAAAGAAATCATCACACCATTTATATAAATTCTGTAAGAAAAAAATTACACCATCAAGCACACAACATGGGTGAATGATATTCACAAAATGAAAAGCTTTGTAAAACAGTAATATAGTAAGGTTACACTCACACAGTGGGGTCTCATTGCTAATATTCCCAAACACTTAATGATATTCACAAATGAAAAGCTTTGTAAAACATTAATATAGTACTATGGTAATACTCACACAGTGAGGTCTCATTGCTAATATTCTCAAACAGAATATTCAGAGTTTGTAGCAACTGGACACAAATGTATCTCCCAGTCCTTTGTCTCAAAATTTTCAGGAAAAATACTAGCATGTTTTTTTCCAAAAAGAAGCTAAAAAGAAAAATATACTAATTATTACATAGGGCATACTCAAATACCAACAAGTATCAATTATTTTCTTCAAATCATGGAGATATAGTCTACCAATAACAACTACAGTTGGAATTTCCAAGTGTACATATTTTGCATTGCTATTTTTCATTTTGTAATGAT